GAAGGAACACTAGATTTTAACTATAGCTGGATCTTGTTAATCTGTACCTTCTTCTCCCTCCTAACCTGTATTTCTAACACTCATAACATTGTACTCAGATAATATACCTATTTTCCTATTCACAGCCCTCAGAGACTCACTGTTGCTTTGCTGAATAGCATTTATTATTAGACACTAAGAGGACTGAACATCCTGCTCTAATAGATGTGATTTAATATTTTTTTTCTTTTATCACTTTCTTTTTCTTTTTATTAATGAAGAATGTTAAAAGTTAAGTTTTACTAATCACTGTATGTAACAGTGAAAAGACTTCACCCTGACATTATTTGTATAATAGGAGATACCTGCTGGTCGTTTGTTTTTTCTTCTTTCTTTACCATTGTTTTATGTATATCTTACCAAAGATTGAATCTAGTAATAAGTAACTATGTAGCAAAAGAAAAAGGATGAGAAATAAGTACACTCACCACTGAGTAGTAGTATTTAATCAGTAATTAGTATTTAATTACTAATTGAGAGTATTTTACACTTATTTACAAGCAGTGGTCATTTATTCAATTTATAACAGTCTCAAGGAACAGTTACTTTTGTTGGCCACTTGATGGCAGGTTCATCAAATTGAAAGAATGGCATATACATTCAGTGAGGCAAAAGTATGCACTAGGATTGGTTTCTTTTCTTTTTTGATAATGGTATAGATATGGTGATGTACAGGAGATATCTACTACATGGGGACAATAATTGCTTGCTTGGATGTAGACCTCAATATTGTCTGACACAAAATGACAGAGAACTCTGATTGGATGGATTTCAAGCAATCCAATCAGAGTGTTATGAGTCATTTTGCACAGCGTGGGAAAGTTCTTTGGAATTTTCCCACGCTGTGTAAAATGACACAGAGCACTCTGATTGGTTAGCTTGAAATCCAGCCAATCAGAGTTCTCTGTGTCATTTTGCACAGCGTGGGAAAGTTCTTTGGAATTTTCCCAGGCTGTGTAATTTGACTCATAACTCTCAGATAGGTTACTTTCAATCCACCAATCAGAGTGTTGTTATGAATCACGCCACTGCCTGCTCACTGTTTACTAGACATGCCCCTACTCGCGGTATAGCGAGTAGGGGCTGAATGTACTAATACTAAGCAATCTTTACTTAGTAATAGTAAATGTGGCTGAAAGACCAATTAGGTCTTTCAGCCTTTTGGTAGATAGCTCACATGCTGCACTGGCCAATCACAGCCATGCCGTTAGTAGGCATGGCTGTGATGGCTTCTAAGGGCACACGAGTCAAACGCTTGTTGATTGGTTGCCCTGCAGCCTTTCAAAACGCAGCCTTTCAAAACGCAGCTTTTCAAAACGCGCCATTAAATCGCCGAACACCGAACTCCAACCCGAACATACAGTGAAATGTCCGTGTTCGGGTCTGGGGTCCAAAAAACGCAATGTTCAGTACGAACCCGAACTTTATAGTTCGGGTTCGCTCAACACTAGCTGTAATGTAAACATTGCATTTTCTCTGAAAAGACAGTGTTTACAGCAAAAAGCCTGAAGGTAATGATTCTACTCACCAGAACAAATACAATAAGCTGTATTTGTTCTGGTGACTATAGTGTCCCTTTAAAAAATTAAAAATGTTCCCTGATTTATCCTGGAATACCAGAAAAAAGAGGAAATCCATTGCTGAAGTCACTGGGACACTAAGGAAAAATAGGATCAAATATAAATGGGGTTATCCCACTAAATCATAATGCAAGAAAATAGAGTTGAAAGGTTTTCTGATGCTGATAAAAACATAGAATGTGACGGCAGATCTAGTCTGCCCAATTTTGAAATACTTTTAATTAGTCCCTGGCATTATCTTAAGTCTAGGAGAGCCGTATGCCTATCCCATGCATTCTCAAACTCCCTCACTGTGTTAACCTCTACCACTTCAGTTGGAAGGCTATTCCATTGGTCCACTACCCTCTCTGTAAAGTAATACTTTAAGACTATGTCCTTTTGTTGTGGTAGTTTTTCTTCTTTTAAATACACTGTTTTCTCCACCTTTACTGTGTTGATTCCCTTTATGTATTTAAATTACCTGGCCATATCCATGGCAGCACAACATTGGGTAGCTCCTCCCTATCATCATTGGACAGGAATAATAATGAAGCCATATAAGTACCACCTCCTACCCCTCCTTCCCCAGTCTTTTTTTCCTGTTCTATCCTCTAGGACATGCGGTCTTTAGGACCGTGAAAATTTTTTCTTTTATGGCTTACCTGAGGATTAGTTCCTCCAGCCCCTGGGGAGTTCACCCTTTCTCCCCTGGGAAGTCTCCAGTATACGGCCCTGCGCAAAGGTGTCCCCCTGGAGAAAACCCCTTTAGTGACCGGGTTTTTTTTCCTTTCCACTATCTTGCAATGACCTCAGGGGTAGCAAGTAAAAGGACCAATTACATTACTTATTGAAATTACAAGTTTGGACCAGATAATGGTATGAGGTTGATATGATTTGAACTTACCGACAGGAGTATTCAGCCGGTAAGTAAGCCTTACTTCTCATCTTCCTGGCCGCCTGCAGAGTCCACAGGGTTCCCCCACGGCGTTCTGTAATTTTCAAACGGCGTTTGCGGGTTCCAGGACATCTGTATGGCGTGCGTAAGTTCCATGGGCGCATGCGCGGCGTTCGGGAAGTTCCTGAGCGCATGTGCGGCGTTCGGGACTTCCTGGGCGCATGCACGGCATTCAGGAGTTCCTGGGCTCATGTGCGGCGTTCATGAATTTCTGAGCGTTCGTAGGGTATCAGACGAATAAGCGCGCGAACGCGGACCAATCGCATTCGCGCGCAAAAACAATTTAAGCCGTTTGCTTGTATTTTCGGTTCCTAGCTAATGCACAGTGACGTCAGACGCCTATTTAAAGTGCCAAAACCGCAATTTTGTTTCAAGCTGTTTATTCCCTGCAATTCCCTTATTCCCTGGTATTTTGGAACTTTAACAATACTGTCAGTTCTTCAACTTTTCCAGTATTCTTTCCTGGGACAAAGTAAGTATTTTATTTTTCCCCACATTATTTCTTAATTTTTTATTATCCTTTCTCTTCTTGGTTTTAAGTTCTTCTGTTCCATCAATCATTTCCAGATGGATTCTCGTTCAAGATCTAAGGAATCGGATTCATCTCACAATAGGTCACAATCAAAGCAATATAGGTTAGCCATCTCTCTATCTCTTAAAAAAAAAAAAAGAGTGGGAATGTACTCAAAGCACGTTTTGTGTATTGCAGTGCTAAAAGTACAAGGACTTCAGGATCGTCCAAAGGGAAGTTGCCCAAAAGGACGCTATGCATATCCTGTGACAAAAGAGCCATAGAAGGGAAACGTCTCTGTTCAGATTGTCTCTCAGCAGCTGCAGGACCTTCTCAACCAGCACCGGACATTATGCAACTTATAAAGCATGCAGCTGCCCAGGGTATCAGAGAGGTTGGAATGACCCACAAACGACCTAGATATTCTGAGCCCTCAGATTTTTCTCCAGGAAACTCAGAAGACGAGTTTATGGATTCAGCTTCACTGAGAGACCTAGCTTTTTCCTCGGAGGAGGATGCTATGCCAGATCCAGACTTCCTGGTACCAGCGGAAGTGGATCATTTAATTGCCCAGGTTAGAGAAACCCTTACTTAAAAGGAACCCTCAGAGGAGGAACCCTCTACTTCCAATCGCTACTTCTCTGATCTTAGGAGAAAAAAAGCGGCTTTCCCAGTGCATGACACTATCAGGGATCTTATTAAGGAAGAATGGTCCAGATCTGATAGGAGATCATCTGCCAAAGGGAAATTTTCCAGGTTATACCCATTCGAGCCCAAAGATGCTGAAGCATGGGATTTTGCACCCAAGGTTGATGCTGCAGTTGTCAGGTTAGCAAAGCATACTACCCTACCTGTGGACGATGCTGGTTCCTTCAGGGACCCGATGGATCGTAAAATGTGTATTTCCTTTCCAAGTCCTATGTATCCTCAGGCGCAAGTCTCCACCCTGCCGTTGCTCTCACGTCAGTCACAAGAGCTATGAAAGTATGGCTACACGAACTGGAGGAGGACATCAGGAGTGGCAGAAGCCATTTCTCCATTGTGGATAGCCTAAGAGGTTTGCGTTCAGCAATTGATTTTTCGTCCGAAGCAGCAGTGGATCTAGTAAGAAATCTTGCTAGAAATATGTCCTTTTCGATTTCCTCCAGACGGGCACTTTGTCTCAGGACCTGGGCAGCTGATGCTTCCTCCAAGAATAGTTTATGTTCTTTACCATTCCACAGGAATATGTTGTTTGGTAAGAACTTAGACAAATGTATAAAGAAAGCGGCTGAAGGTAATAAGGCCTTTCTACCTCAAAAAAGAAAATATAAAGGGTCCTTTTTTGCCAGAAAAGAGTTTCATTCCTTTCGAGACAGTAGATCTTACAAGCCTGGTAGAGAATATTCCAGATTTCAACCAGGGAGAGGAGCCCAATCTGGAGGAAGAGGAGGCAAGTCGCGAGGTGCTTTTTCCTCCAAGAACCCTAGGAATTCATGACTATATAATTCCCAAGTCCGAAGGGGTCGGGCCTGTCTTCTCTAATATTTACACATATGGGAAGAATCCACAAGCGACAGCTGGGTACTGGATATTATTCGGAGAGGATACCTTCTAGAATTCTTCAAGCATCCTCCCAACAGGTCCTTTCATCTCACAAAGTGGCCAGGGGACAAAGAGAAGCGTATGGCTCTACAAAACTTCATTCTATCCTTACAGGCAGAAAAAGTCATCACAACTGTACTGGCAGACGACAGAAATCAGGGATTCTACTCTCACATCTTCCTAACAAAGAAATACTCAGGAAGATGGAGGCCTATTCTGGATCTGCACAGATTAAACAAGCATCTACACATTCGCAGATTCAAGATGGAATCCCTACAGTCTATTATAAAAGTGGTTTCACCCAACCAATGGATGTTATCTATAGACCTGTTAGACGCCTACTTCCACTTACCCATTGCCCTATCCCATCAAAGGTTTCTGAGGTTTGCCGTGGAAGAGGGTCATTTCCAGTTCAGAGCACTCCCGTTTGGACTAAGCACAGCCCCAAGGACGTTCACAAAAGTGTTGGTAGTTCTGATTGCAGAACTAAGAAAGCTGAATATCGCTATCTATCATTATTTGGACGACATCCTGATTATAGGAAACAGCGAAGATTCATTGACCTCCCAAGCTATTACCAGCATTCAGTTTCTGCAAGCCCACGGCTGGAAGATCAACACCAAGAAGAGCCACCTCCACCCAACTCAATGTATGATTTATTTAGGTGCTCACTTCGACACTCTGAGGGGTACTGTTCAACTTTCAATGGCAAGAATATTGAAGCTCAGGATACAATTAAGAAGGATGATAAAGTCCAGTATTGTCCCTGCAAAGGCAGTAATGAGCCTCCTCGGATCTATGTCATCCACGATAGGGCTGACCAGATGGGCACAATGGAGGATGAGACCGTTTCAAGCCAATTTCCTGTTGCAATTTTCTTTCAAGAATCTACTCCAACCCATCAAGTTATCCCGGGCCGTACGCCATTCTCTGATCTGGTGGCTGAACAAAGAACACCTTTCCAGGGGGTTTCCACTATGAGACATCACATGGATAGCAGTGACAACAGATGCCAGCCAATGGGGATGGGGCGCCCATTATCTCCACGACTTTGCACAGGAAGAATGGAGTTTCATGACAAACAATATGCATTCCAATCTGCTAGAAATTCTTGCGGTCCTCAAAGCACTGAAGCATTTCTCGGTATATCTCAAAGATCAATGGGTAAAGATAAGGACAGACAACACCACCGTGGTATCCTATATCAATCACCAAGGAGGCACCAAGAGTGGCAAGATGATGGTGATTATGAAACAACTAATGGAGTGGGTGCAAAGGAACTTTGCAGGCCTTACAGCCATCCATCTACCAGGGAAACGGAATCAGTTGGCAGATTTCCTCAGCAGATCCAGGATAGACCCAGGAGAATGGTGCCTATCGGACAGAGTATTCCACATGATTGTGGACAAGTGGGGTCTCCCTCAAATAGACCTACAAGCTACTCGTGTCAACAGGAAGGTGAAGGATTACTTCACGAAAGAGGAAGACCATCTAGCACTGGGAAGAGACGCCTTATCCAGTCCCTGGAGATTCAAACTAGGGTATGCATTCCCTCCATTTCCATTGATCTTCCCAATCTTGAGGAGGATGAGAACAGAGAGGGTATCTCTCATCCTGATAGCGCCCTATTGGCCTCGAAGGCCTTGGTTTCCCCTGCTTCAAAATCTTTCAGTGGAACCTCCTCTCTCACTTCCCAGAACTCCGGATCTACTGTTCCAGGGCCCAGTGTTGCATCCAAACCCGGTCTCACTAAATCTCATGGCATGGAGACTGAAAGGAACAGGCTTGTGAACAAAGGATTCTCCCAGGCCGTAATAGAAACTATGCTGAAGGCACGAAAGCATTCCACTTCAGCCACTTATTATAGAGTGTGGGAAGTTTTCTCTACCTGGGCTCTTCCAAAAAATATTGATCTGCAGAAACCCTCTTCCACGGATATTTTAGAGTTCTTACAGTCTGGACTTTGTAAAGGTCTGAGTTATAATACTTTCAAAGTACACGTCTCAGCTTTGTCCGCCTTAACCAATCACAGATGGGCATTGGACTCAGATGTTATTAGATTCATTAAAGGAGTCCTTAAAATTAAGCCTCCAATTAAGCCTTTTGTTCCCTCCTGGAATCTCCCTTTGGTTCTGAACGCCTTAAAATTGGAACCCTTTGAACCCCTTGAATCAGTTCCTCTTCAGGTTTTGTCTATCAAGACAGCTTTGCTGATCGCCCTAGCTTCCGGCAGGAGAGTTTCGGAGCTCCACGCCCTATCCACTAAGGAACCCTTTACGGTCTTTCATAAGGACAGAGTTATCCTCCGTACTGTTCCTGAATTTAGACCTAAAGTCACCTCCGCCTTTCATATTAACGAGGATATTGTTCTCCCATGTCTGAGGCCTGAAGGCCAAGAAAGCGAGAATTCAACTGACCTGTCATCTCTGGACCTAGTGAGATGCCTTCGTATCTATACTGAAAGGACTGCTGCTTGACGCATTTCTCAAAGTCTCTTGGTCCTTCATAGTGGTAATAGAAAAGGCTTACAAGCCCCTAAATCTACCATTAGCAGGTGGATAGTGGCAGCCATTATACGGGCTTATCAATCTTCTGGATATCCGGTCCCTGTGGGTCTTAAAGCTCATTCCACTAGGGCCCTCTCATCTTCCTGGGCAGCAGCAGCTAATGTCTCTCCTGAACTCTTTTGTAAGGCGGCCACATGGTCTTCCACCAATACCTTTATTAGAAGTTATCAAATTGATGTCAGAGCATGTCTATCAGATCAATTTGCTAAATCAGTTCTGTCTGTATCCGATACATGATTCTTTGTTTTTCACTTATTAATGGTGTTAATACACTTTGCATTCAAAATTTTCGAGTCTGTGTCTTCTTCCCTCCCTGGTTTATTGCTTGGGTATTACCCAATGTTGTGCTGCCATGGATATGGCCAGGAAAACTGAAAATTTATTCATACTTACCGTAATTTTCTTTTCCTGGTCATAAGCCATGGCAGCACAGGGGTCCCACCCGAGTCTATTGCTGTAAAACTTGACTGGGGAAGGAGGGGTAGGAGGTGGTACTTATACGGCTTAATTATTATTCCTGTCCAATGAGGATAGGGAGGAGCTACCCAATGTTGTGCTGCCATGGTTTATGACCAGGAAAAGAAAATTACGGTAAGTATGAATACATTTTCCGTTGTTTCTATCATACTCCCCCTGTCTCGTCTTTCCTCCAAGCTATACATGTTAAGATCCTTTAACCTTTCCTAGTAAGTTTTTTCCTGCAATCCATGAACTAGTTTATTAGCCCTTCTCTGAACTCTTTCCAAAGTATTAGTATCCTTCTGAAGATATGGTCTCCAGTACTGCGTACAATACTCCAAGTGAGGTCTCACCAGTGTTCTGTACAATGCATGAGCACTTCCCTCTTTCTACTGCTAATGCCTCTCCCTATACAACCAAGCATTCTGATAGCAATTTCTGCTGCTCTGTTACATTGCCTGCCTACCTAAGTCATCTGAAATAATTACTCCTAAATCCCTTTCCTCAGATGTTGAGGTTAGTAGGGTATCAAATATTCTATACTCTGCCCTTGGGTTTTTACGCCCAAGATGCATTGTCTTGCATTTATCCACATTAAAGGTCAGTTGCCAGAGCTCTGACCATTAGACATGTGCGATTCGGTTTGTTCTGAATGCAAATTCATACATTTGGATGCCGAACTTCTGAAGTGCTGAATTTCGTAATGCCAAACTTAACCAAAATGCCGAATGCCAAACTGAACCGCCCAAGTGCAAAATTTCGGTAAGTGCCGAAGTGCTTCGGATTTCTGAAAAGTGGCAAAACAGGAGAGGGTTGGTGTAGGGTTAGGTTAGTGGTTGTGGTAAGGTTTGGGGTAGGATTACATTGGGGTTGGGGAAGGGTTAGGGGTAACCTAACCCCTCTCCTAAATCAACCCTAACCTAACCCTACCCCTAAACCAACCCTAACCCTACCCCTAGTTACCCCAAGCCCCAAAGTGCCAAAGCCTCAAAGTCCCAAAGTGCTGAAGTCCCTACTGACCATTTTTCTAATTTACCTAAATCATTAGCCATTTAGGATGAGCACTTCCCTCTTTCTACTGCTAATGCCTTTCCCTATACAACCAAGCATTCTGCTAGCATTTTCTGCTGCTCTATTACATTGTCTGCCTACCTTTAAGTCATCTGACATAATTACTCCTAAATCCCTTTCCTCAGATGTTGAGGTTGGTAGTGTCACGTATTCAACCGCTTATAAAAATGCAATTAATGGAATTTACTGTCCACACAGGAAAAGTTGTGCCGAGCAACAACCAAATCCACAGAAGGGTTAATGCTGAGCAGCAATTATGCAAATGGGAACCTGGTTACTGCCTTTGGGGTCAAAGGCCGGTTACAGTCTATCAGATCTAAAGGAGGGGTATTTAGGCCCAGTTCTCATCCTGCTCAGTGCCCTGTTGTGGTTTCCCTTGTGGTTGTCCAAGAGCGCGTTATTGATTCTGGTTATTTGACTTTGCCATTGTTTTTGACTTCCCTGTTTTCTGGCATCCCTGACTCTTGGCTTTTCCTTATCGTTGTGTCTCTTTCTGTATCCCTTGACCTTGGCTATTCCTGACTATTCTTTGGTACGTTAGTCCGGCCATTCTAAGGTCCGATATACGTTACCTATCAGTCCTCTGTGTTACACAGTGCTACGTGCTGGATCATTCTGTAATCCTGACAGGTAGGGTATCAAATATTCTATACTCTGCCCTTGGGTTTTTACGCTCAAGATGCATTATCTTGCATTTATCCACATTAAAGGTCAGTTGCCAGAGCTCTGATCATTAGACATGTGCAATTCGGAGCAAAAAGTGGCAAAACAGGAGAGGGTTGGGGTAGGGTTACGGGTTGGGGCAGGGTTAGGTTTGTGGTTGGGGTAGGATTAACCTAACCCTACTCCTAAACCAACCCTACCCTAACTCTACCCCTACTTACCCCAAGCCCCAAAGTGCCAAAGTCTCAAAGTCCCAAGGTGCTGAAGTCCCTACTGACCATTTTTCTAACTTACCTAAATCATTTGCCATTTGAGTTGCAAATTTTTGTATCATCAGCAAAAAGACATACCTTATCATCAAGACCTTTTGCAGTATCACCAATAAAAATATTAAAGAGAATGGGTCCAAGTACAGATCCCTGAGGTATTGCTTCGAATATACTTTGTTTACTACAACCCTCTGTTGCCTGTCATTCAGCCACTGCCTAACCCATTCAACAATATGGGAATCCAAACTTAAAGATTGCAGTTTATTGATGAGCCTTCTATGTGGAACAGTGTCAAAAGCCTTACTAAAATCTAGGTAAGCAATGTCTACTGCACCACCCTGATCTGTTATTTTAGTTACCCAATCCAAAAAAATCAATAAGATTATTTTGGCATGATTTCCCTGAAGTAAACTCATGTTGTCTCTGATCTTGAAATCCATGTGATTTTAGCTGTTCAACAATCCTATCCTTTAACATGGTTTCCCTAATTTTCCCCACTGCTGAAGTAAGGCTTACTGACCTATAGTTGCCCGACTCCTCCCTACTTCCTTTCTTGTGAATGGGTACAACATTCACTAATTTCCAGTCTTCTGGAACTACTCCTGTTAACAGTGATTGGTTAAATAAATCCATAAATGGTTT